GTGTATCAGGCACTGTTCTAAGTGGTGAAGAAGACAAAAACGATCCCTGCCCATGGGGCACTCTCATCCCAGTTCAGCTAGGCCTTCCTCAACCATCCTATCTAAAGTAGCCACCCAATCACTGTATCGCATCACTACTTTCTCTCTCTTTATAGCTTTATCAATAACCTGATATTTTCTGACATATTTGTCTCTACACTCCAGAATGTAAGCTCCATGAGTATGGACCTTGCCTATCCTGTTCCCCAATATCTGCCATAGAACACACCTTCATAAATAGTTGTTAAATGAATTAATGGAAGAGCAGTTTCAAAGCCAGTCGGAAGAGTGGTTTAGGGCTTGGACAAATTAGTGTCTCTAAGCTGCAGTTTTCCCAGCTAAAAAAATTGGGAAAATAAACATATAATTATATAGGGCTATCTTTAGGACTGAGACAGTGAGCCCAGTACACTATGAGCTACTATTATTAAAAAAGGTTAAATAATCAGTACATTAATTATAAAGATAGGAAGCATATGTTGTAAGAAAAGCTAAAAAATAAACTGGCTCAAGGATTTAAAGTTTGTGACTGAGTGCAGTTATCTAAAACTTTCAGGAATCAATCTAATACAAAAGCATCACTTTATTTAGTTCTTGATGTGGTAACATCTATATTTGGGTAACAACATTTAGAAAAAGCACGGGAATAGTTTATCACAGGGACATCTCTCTTCTACTTAAAACTTCACCCGTATTTTTTCATATTACTTCAATATAAATACTGTGTTTTAATAACAGAATTCTTTCATAAATAAATGGTTACCTATAACGGGGAAAAAAACCCAAACATGCATTAAAATGCTTAACTGAATCCATTAACTTAGAAATAATGTTTTACATTTCATTTAGCTGATTAGAACCTAAGTAGTATCTTGAGTGCACTTCTAGACTAAACATTTAAATGGTGTTTTACTTAGATGTGGTTGGTCCCTTCACTCATTCACATACATTCAGTGAACATTTAGGTTTTATACAAAGGCCGCCCTCCAGTGGTTCTCAGGAGTTTATGTAATCAGGCATATATACAGAAGGTGCCAAAAAAGTGTACATTTTAATAAAGGAAAACTCTATTAAAGTTGTAATACTCAATATATACCGGTAACAAAAGATGAATACAAGTCACACTTGACTTCTGCAATTACAAGAGGTGCTCAAAGTGGTTACCATCAGCGTCCAGACACTTCTGATTACAGTGAACTACTGCTCGAGCAACGCTAACCAGTCGCCACTTGTATACATTTTTTTGGCACCCCGGTGTGTGTGTGTGTGTGTGTGTGTGTGTGTGTGTGTGTGTGTATACATACACTTAAAAACCTTAGATCACTTGTTTTAGAGTGGAGAGGATCCCATTGAGAATTTACGCAAGGAACCTATCTTGGAAAAACATACATGCAAAAATCCAAAACTTTTGCATTTTGGGTAGTTCACGAAGCCCCAGAAAGTCCTTCTGTGGGTCTCAGAATAAGAACCCAGGAGAAGAAGGCTTATCTAGCTTGCTGTTGTCAATGGGCTGATGCTACGTATACAAACTAAACAAGTAATACTTAGAGCGGGAATTGAGAATTCACTTATAAATGGTAAGGATCTCAATCCAACATAAAGATTCGCAGGAATCCTGGTTTATACGATGGGCGCAACACATCACACTTACTTCAAAAGCAGAATAATCCGGGGCTGTCAAGTAGCTCAGGTAGTTCTTAGTAGGTCGGTATCTGCGAGTTTCCTCCTCTACCAGCGCCGCAGCCTAAGAACGAGAACAGGGGCCAGCGTAGGAGTAGCAAATTGTAAGAAGCTTCCTCCAGCACTAAGGGCCAGCAAGTGCTGAGTCACCTACAAAGACACCCCAAACTCACCGCTTCCCGCACTCCAGGGGCTTCATAACCTTGGTCAAAATACGGCAGGGCATCCACCACAACCTCTCCAGCCACCAAACCCGTACCCGCCATTCTTAGGGTTGCCTGAGTTTTCTGAGTCTGCGCAGGCTCAGGTCTATTTCAATACGCCTGCGCCCGCCGCGGATGTAATTCACGTCGCCTGCGTAGCGCCTTTGACGCATGCTCAGTTGTTCATTCTGAAGACGCGCTCGTCAGGCTGTTAGGGACTGGCCCACCATTTTTTTTGGTCGGATGTGACGTCAAGTCGTGCTTTCCCAGAGTCCGTGGATTGTCTCAATTATTTGTCCCCGCCTGTTCCACTTTTTTGCTTCCGACTGGCAGCAAATTGTAGAGAGGTGCGACTTTTGGTTTCCTCCAGGACGCTGATATCTGGGAGAGGAATCTTAAAACTTTTGGAGGGAACTGGCCGCAGTTTTGGCGGGGAGAGAGAAAGTGACTTCCCATCTCGGCTTACTTCTCTAACCCATTAAACTTCTCCCCATTAAAGTTCTCTCCCTTTGTGCCGAGCATCTCTGCCCTCGCACCTCCTTGCTGTACCCACCCACTGTTCTTCGTTCTCGGCGCCCTGAGAATCTATGCATTGGGTAAGTGCAGTTCTTTCACAGACTCTAGAAGTGAGCGCCAGTCTCCAGTTAAAATTGCGAAGCTTTAGGGTCTGCCTAACAAAAGGAACCTAATCTTCTTCCAGGGCGAGATTGATAACTGCCCACCAACCTTAACTTTTAAACCTTTAGGACTTCCGGTAGTAGAAGCGCCCATTGCTTCCCAACCACTCCTGCGGCTGCAGGTGCACGGTCTTTGGACCGTGGCTGCCAGCTCCTTTTGACTAAGCAGGCAAAGACCAAATAAGGTAGTCGGACTATATTCCTTGTCTGCTGTGCAGCCTAAACCCAGGCTTTGTCTGCCAAGAGCCAGGAAATGTTGGCTACAGTTTTGGGGGTTTTGTTTGTTTGTTTTTAAGAAATTTTATTGGGGAACAGTGTTTTTTTCCAGGACCCACCAGCTCCAAGTCAAGTAGTTGTTTCAGTCGAGTTGTGGAGAGCGTAGCTCTCTGGCCCATGTGGGAGTTGAACCGGCAACCTTGGTGTTATGAGCCTGTGCTCTAACCATCTGAGCTAATCAGGCACCCCTTGGCCACAGTTTTTAAGTCTGGAAAGCTTAGGATCGATTTGGATTATCTTTTAACCTACTGTTAGATAAATGTGCTATAGATTTAAGTGACTTAAGCAGCTTTATTTAAAATTGTCCAAGAGACCCATGGAATTTTTGTGTTTATTCATTAGAACTGTAAACAACATTTTATACAAATCTTGAGTAATTCTTTTACAAACACGTCTAGAACGCAGAAAACTTTACAAAAAAATAAAACAGACCTAAGAAAATGAAGCAGCTTCAGATTGTAGGTGTAAAATAAGACCCCTATTCCTAAGCAAAGGTCTTCTCACGGAGGGATAGCCAGAGCCCACCACAGTAATACCTCCTACCCCCATTTTAGAAACACTCAATTCCCAAATACTAATTGTTCCCTCAGGGTTGGTCTCAGAAGAGACCAAATGGGGTGATACATGGTAAAAGCCTGGTAAGCTGCGTAATAAACATTTAAAAAAAAAACACAGGCTCAGTTCTATTTTATGGACCGACGTCTATATGAATTATATAGCACTGGTCTTAAATGGTGTTAGCTTTGGATTCATGCACACCAGAATGGGACATAATGACAATACTGTACAAGTCAATAAATTGTATCCTCATACAACTGGTAAGGTTTTGTTAAGTTTAAATAAAATTTTTTTATGTCAATTCAAACCATCAGCAAGAGTTGCAGAAAACAAATTGACATTTGCTGTAACATTTATCAATGAAAATTGCACCATCACTGACAACTTCCTCTTTCCAATCACTACTATTACTTTAGATATTAAAGGTTGGGGTGATTATGTGGTGGTGTGTCCAGGATATGTTCATATTCTCATCCAATTTAATTAGATTGAAGAGTCCAACAATTCTAGGGGAACCAAAAACAAAAAAAGTCTTATCTAGTTTCAAGTCCCTTATCCTGAGAGCTCAGAGTTGGCCCTGCTATACTTCACCTTAGAAGAAAAATTTTTCAATAGCTATAATCCCACAGAGCTCAAATTTCCATCTAGAGGACTAACTGACTTTCTCTGTTCACAAACTAACAGTTCTGGCTCTGTTGTGTAACTTGGGCAAGTTATTTAATGTTTTTGAATTCCAAAAACATTAAAACAGAAATGGAAATATCTCAGAAAGTTGATTTAAAGACTGAATAAGATGATGTACATACATGTACCACAGTGCATGGCACATGGTAGACACTAAAAAATGTTTCATGCCCTTGAAAGGACATTAGAATTCCACAGTTTAATGTCAAAACATGAGAGACAAACTACTCAAGTGCCACACAATGTGGAGCAGGAGCTGCATGATGTCTACTTTTATAAGAAACTCAGTAACAATACTAATAAATAGGGATTCCACATAAGTGAGACTCCTCTAGGCAGAATATTAGACAAGAAAAGAGATACATACAATGAGTATATTCCTTAGCTCAGCTCCAACAGCCCATGGGTTTAAAGCTGCCATGGTATTTCAGTGATGAGAATTATGTGTGTAGGGCTAGTGTTCTCCACTTCTGTCATGCTTCCCTAGTACCTCAAATTCTCTCATTGTGCTTTTTGTCTCATTGTGCTCATCTTTGAGCCATTTTTAAAATTGAAACACCAAGTCTTTCTCTTGTAAAATAACAAATGCCTTCATAGACTAAGCACAAAACACAAAGAATGAGTCCAAGAATCAAATGGAAAAGGCCAATTAAAAAAAATTAGAGGCAGAGTAGAGAGAGCATTGCTTCCAGAAGACTCCCTGCAATTTTCCAGTGATGACTACAGTAGCAACAAGAGAGTCCTCCTCCAAGAACCTGGCCCACTCTGCAAACTTGTCAACTTTCAAGGATTTTGTGGAATACTTTAGGGCATCCTGACTCTTGGAAAAATATTTCCTTTGGCACTTCCTGTTTATTTAGGATGAGACAGTATATCAAAGACTTCATTTCTTCTGCAGAAATTTCATTTTACTTCCTAAAGGGAGAAAAAAGTAGAGTGAACTCTCATTACTTCATTTTTATTTATTGTATATTATTTGATGCAAGGGATTAACAACCTAGTCATTCAGAACAGCCTAGGAGTAAGCTGCCATCTCAAGCTATCAGTTATGTTTAATCACCAAACCTGCCCCAACCCCAAGTGTCTAACTGTAGAGGTGAAGAGAACACAGACTTCATCTAATCCAGGGGTTTTCACCCCTGACTGTAGGTTAAAATCACTTGGCCTGCTCCCTAGAGATTATAATGTTATAGTCAGAGCTGAAAACCACTGATCTAACCCTATGGTTATAAAGATGAAATGACAGTCCAAAGCATAATTTTCCCATGGTCTTTTTCAGCTAGTTAAGGATAAGGCCTAATTTTAATTGGGCATATATTTCAAAGACCAATATAAATACCATAGAATATAGGTTCTTTATTGTATTGGGCTACCACAACACTGTTCTCCTATAGCACACTGACTGGATAATTCAGAGTTAGCTATAATGGAAAAATCATAAACCACCATGTTTATGTGTAAAATTAGAGACTTGTAGGACATTCTCTTGTTTCAGGTGCCCGCTAAACTAAGTGGTTTTTTTTTTTAATTTTTATTGGGGAATTGGGGGGATGGGAACAGTGCTGGGGAGTTGGGGAAGGGGAACAGACAAGTTGCTGTCATTTTGTTCTTCAGTCTAGTTGTGGAGGATGTTGCTTCACTGGCCCAAGTTGGCCACCATCATTGCGCTCTTCCCGGGCGAGGCAGATCAGTCGCCGGCTTCTGGACGGCCGCTCACTGCGGCTGCTGGCCACTCACGCTGGCTGCTGGCTACACACGGTAGCCCATGGCAACCCACTGCCACAGGGGCTGCAGCCTACGCTGTCGCCTGCGACCTCAGGGCAGCCCAGCTCCAGGTTGAGCTGTTGTTCAGCATCTTAGCTGCAGAGGGCAGTGTCACTGGCCCTCATATGTGGGATCCGAACTGGGGCCCTCTGGCGTCCCAAGCCAGTTCTTAACCATCGCACCACTTGGCCGACCCTAAACCAGGTGCTTTTAATCTGGAGTCCATGGATGGACTTCAGGGAGGTCCATGGACACCGTAAAATTATATGTAAAATTTGTTTCTGTGCTGTATATTTTTTTGGAAAAAAGGTCCACAGTTTTTAAAAGATTCTCCAAGGGATATGGCCTAGAAAAGATTAATGATCTTGACATGCAAATTTGTATTATGATGAGGGAGCCTCATTTGAGGAAAATGGCCTCACAGACAACCTCTGAGAAAGAGACTTTTTCTCCAAAACATTTTGGAACTAGGGTCATGGTTTCTGGTCAGCCTACTTGATCTGATTATATTATTGATTGAATTATAAAGCTCTTGTGATGAGGCACGCTTACTGCAAAAGCTTTTTCAGCCACATTTATGTAACAGGAAAACACAGCAACTCACCAAGACGCTGCAAAATTCTGTTCATCCCACTGGACTCAGACTCAGGAATTGTTTTCAAATACTGGAAGGCCCGGACCTCAAACAAATGTACAAGGAAAACTCATGTTGGTGAAATTGTCCAATGCTCAAGACTGAGAATCAATTAAATAAAACTCTGTTCTCACAAGCAATGTACTTCCACAGCTAAGACAATTATTACAAAATTAACATTTCCCATAACAGCTCGGAATTTGAGCCCTTGTAGCTTTACGCTGTTTTTTGTTGATATCATTTTCCAACCCTCCAAGTGCTCACTAAACACAGAGGGACAATTTTATGATGAAACTGACCTTTCACCCCAGTTTTCTGAAGCTCTGGGTCCTGGATGAATCCTGCAAACATCTGAGTTTCCATGAAGAAATCTAGGAAGTGGTGAACACTTTGGGAGGTGTGGGATTTACAGAATGGCTCCCTTTGAAATATAAGCTCCCCACGCTCAGTGACAGTCATGCTTAAAGAATAATGTCCCACCAGCTCCACAAAAAATCTGACAAATGCTTTGGACACCAGAGAGTTGAATGTCACATTTGTTGCAAAAATCAAAGAAAAAAAAAAGACAAAAGGAAAAGTCCTCTAAGTTTTGTGTTTATGGGAATTACGGCTCTGGCTATGAAAGTGATACCTAGGAAATCAGAGATTAAAGGAATGAGACTAAACATAGGAATCCTCATTGGTAGCTTTTTTGCAGTCTCCGTGACTTACAACAAACAAATGGCTTGTATCCTTACCTTCATTTTCTTCCCATACATACTCTTATTACATTTCTCAGGCTGGCTTGCACATCTGTGATTTCAATGGAACTGCTCCTTCAGAGGCCAACCAGTGAGAACCGGCCCAACTCAATCTGCTTTTCTATTTTTTATCCTCCTTTAAACTCCATGCTGCAATTTGTGCTTATCTCCTCCTCATTCCTCGGGTCTCCCACAACTTTATGCTCTCCTGGTCTGATTCTTCTCCTGCATCTATGACCAAACATTTATTTTTCTCATGCCACTTCGTCCTCCTCCTAAGCATGGTCCTCAGACCACATCCCTTCAATATTCCCTCTCTTAAAAAGCTAATTGTCATAGAGATAGGGCTGGGTTTCCATGTTAGTAATTCTGAACCTTAGATCTCCAGCCATTATTTCACCAAAATTCACCTTCTATGATTCAGACTACCTATGGGTGATCATCATTTGGCTTTCATTAGCACTTAAATTCTATTTGTCTAAAAATCACCATATCAGGTTCCTTTGGGAAATTGGTGGAATATGAATCAAATTAATAAAAAATACATGTCCAATGCCAAATTCATTTATTTCTCCACCAAATCAGTTTCTCTCTCAACTTTCCTATTTCCCATTGCACCATGATTATCCCACAATAAATAATTTGTTGTGTGCTTAAGATGTGGCAGGCACTGTATTAAGTGCTTTTACAAATATACCAAGCCAATGAGGTAGGTATAATTCCCCTTTTATAGATGATGAAACTGGGGCTCAAAACTCTCTGTTGTCATCTCTTCTAGTACAGTGGAGAAGCTGTCAGACTCCCAAGTCAGATGATTCTTAACCACCATAATATACTACAATATAACACCTTCCAGGTTTTAGGCTCAAACCTCAGATTCAGCTTAGACTCTTTTTTCCCCCCATATCCAAATAGTATTTTGTTTTCCTCTGCAATGCCTCTTGCCCTTTCACAGGGGCTCCACCATGAACTAGGTCAGAAACCTAATTTTAGTTAGCCTACCATGAAGCAGCTGTATAAAGGTGGGCAACTGGCTTTACCCCTCATGTCTGTTCTTTGTATATCTGTATAATAACATGGTTGATTAGGTGATTTCTAAGGTCTCTTCTGGCATTGTATTTTGATTCAAGTCTAGATTTTCATTATATTTTGTTCAATAGACTTCTTTCTTTTCTCTTCCTTTCTGCAGCTGAGAATCCAAGGTCCATTAGTGCTTTTCTTGTCAAGACTTTTAACCCATTCCCATCACCTTCACTTACTGTCCTATTTCTCCTCCATTTTGCAGCAAAATTTCTTGGAAGAGTTGTTTATACCTGTTGTACCCACTTTCTTACATCTAATTCCCATTCTTTTTAAAATTATGTTTTTCTATAACTTATCTTCCTTTGTTTCTGTTTCAATGTATATACTTTATATATTCCTTTACATGTATGAGTATTTCACAAGGTCAGCAGTGAGATGAAAATCACAATGCTTAAGACAGAATGTGATGTGTATCTCTGTGGCTTCCTGTGAGACGTCCCTCAGTGGTGGTCTTCCCCTACTCTCCAATAGAGGGTGACCATTGTTTGAAACTTTGTGTTCATCATTCCCTTGTTTTACATTAGTTTCACTACACACATATGTATGTAATCCCACAACATATTGTTAGGTTTTGTATGTCTTTGAACGTAATTTAAAACAGTATGTTCTTCTTCAACTGACTGTTTTATTCAATATGTGTTTTTAAGATTTTTTTTAATGTTATATTCTCCTGTCAACAGACATTTAGATTGTTTTTAGTTTTTGCTGTCACATACAATACCATTACGAAAATGATTGCACTTGTTTCCTAGTTATCACTTGTAAAAGTTTCTCTAGTGTATATGTCTAAAAATTGAATTTTTGGATTGTAGAATATGTGTACCTTTCACTTTACTAGATTATACCAAATTGTTTTTTCAGAGCTGTTGAAGTAATTTACACATTATCACCAACACTTGATATTGTCAGAATTTTAAATTTTTGCCAATATGGTGCATATTAAATGGTATCTCATTGTGGTTTTAATTTATATTTCCCTGACTTTCATGAGCATGTATATTTCTTCATATATTTATTGGCCTTTCATGTTTCCTCTTCTATGAAATGATTGCTCATGTCTTTTCCCCATTTTTCTTTTGGGTTTCTCATGAATTGTAGGAATTTTGAAAAATAAATTCTAGATATTATTCCTTTGCTAGTTATATTTGTTGAAAATGTCTTCACCTAGTTTGTAGTTTGTTTTTTATTTTATTTCCATGGTATTTTTTGATGAATAGAAATTTTAAAAATTTAACGTTTCAAATGAATCTTTTTCTTTATGGCTTGTGCTTTGTGCCACATTTAAGAAATCCATTACTGTCCCAAAACATAAAAATATTTTTTTCTACTTGCTAAACATTTTTAATGTTTTACTTTTGATATTTAAGTCTTTAATTCATTGGAATTAATTTTGTGTATAATCTGAGGTGTAAATCTATATTCATTTCTTTTCACATGGAAAATCAATTGCTCTAGTACTGTTTATTGAATGGTTTACTGTTTTCCCACTGATATGAAAGGCTGGTACAGACACAAATCATGTCTCCTTATGCATGTGCACTCTCTATTCTTTCCATCGCTCTATTTTTTTATTTCTGACCAAAACCAAATGATCTTAATTACTCTGACTTTATGATTAATCTTGATGTTTTGTAGGGCAAGCCCCTCAATCTCGTTCTTCTTTTTCAGGAGTGACTTAGCTATTGTTGGCCCTTCATACTTCCATTAAAATTTTAAAAAGCTGAATTTCATTCCAACTCTCTCTTGAACCTTCCCCATTCTCACTTTCCCCCCACCATTTAACTGAATTTGCTGTTACCAAGGTCCCGAAGCCCTTCCCATTGGCAAATCCACTGGTCAATTCTTAGTCTTCATCTTCCTTGACCTCTTTGCAGCATTAGCCATAATTGTTTACTCTTTCCTTCATGAAATACTTCCTTCACTCAGCTTCTACAATATCACACTCGTAGTTTTATTTACACAGACTTTTCTGGCTCTTCTCCTATCTTACTAGCTGCTCCTTTTAGTTTCCTTTGCTGGATATTTCTCCTCTCCCCAACCGCCTAATGTTGGAAATCTAACCACAACATTCCCAGCCAACCCAGGGCTCAATCCTTAAATCTTTATTCTTTTATCAATACTCCCTCTATAGGATTATCTCACCTGATCCCACAGCTTTAAAACAGCAACTTTTAAATTTATGTCTCCAGCCCAAATCTTTCCTCTGAATCCCAGGTTCATGTATAATAAAGTGTACTTTATTTTTCCACTTGGATGTCTGCTAGGTATTTGATGTCTAACAGGTGTCTCAGCATTTAAAACTGAACTTTTAATTACTCCTCTAAACTTACTCCTTCTATCAGCACATTGTCTTAGTTTTCTCATCTGTAAAATGGTGATTAAATAATGGCACCTGCTTCATAAGGATATTACAAGGATGAATTAAGATGTAAGCTAAGTGCTTACACAATGCCTGGTACAGGGTAAGCCACCCAATAAATATTATTCACCCATTCATTCAACAAATACTGAGTACCTCTTTATTGAATACTGTTTAAAGTACTGGAGATAGAAAACAGGCAGGTGCTCTCATGGAACTTACATTCTAGCACATCAGATGATGATAAAAGTCATGGGGAGAAATAAGGTCAGAAAGATGAGATGGAGTGCTAAGGAAATGGGTACAATTTTAAACAGGGCAGTCAGGAAAGGCCTCACTGAGGCAGTGACATTGGAGCCTGGACCTGCAGGAAGAGTGCAGGAGCCATGTGGATATCTGGAGGAACAGCATCCCATAAATGGAACTGAGCAAGTGCAAAAGTTCTAAAATAGAAGGGGACCTGGCACCTCTGAGGGTCAGCAATGAAGCTAATTATAAGCTTTCAGGCACAGGCAATCTCACACAACTTGCACACATCCTTTAGCGGGGTGCTGGGCACTCAGTAAATATTTACTGCCTTGACCTTAAGTCCTCAGACCACCTGTCTTGTACCTTGTGAAAAGTTCTGCTCCTGAACCAAGAGTTCATTTCGTTCTTCCAAAATCTGCATTAGAGCAGCTTGGAGTTTAGGTGGTAAAATTTCATCCTCATCAGGTACCTTAAGAGAAGAAATTGAAAATTTTCATTAGCTTTGAGAAAGTTTCCAACATGTACTAGCTAGTACCCCAAATTCCACAGGTGACTTTGTATATATTTTGGTTGAAGAGTCAGTCTGAAGCTTCCTTCCCTATATCAAGCAGAATCCATGTTTATGGTGTGTACATCTTAACCATATTAAACAAATAAAATATTTTATAAAATTTTCTGGAAATTTTTATCAAATATCTCTCATCCACAAATCTTACACTATGTTACAAAGATCATCCCCAAACAAATGGTGTTTCAAATGTGATGAGCTAATTAATTTGGAAAAAAAGACAGAATCTTGACAAACATTCGTTTCAGCCCTGTGGTCAGTGCTCACAAGCCACACAGTTACATACAGAGAGCTGCTCCACAAAGGCTGTCCTAAGTCTCTTTCCCACTTTAATACCAAGAATAAATGACCACTTTTTTTACCCCTACTGTACATGTTGTACAAATTTCTAAAATTTTATGGATATTTCTGCCCCCCCCCACTGGACCTCCTCCTCCCCAATCATTAGACTGTAAGGCCTGAGGGCTCAAACTGTCTTACTCATCTTTAGATTCTAACTAACAGACTATCTAGAAATAATCACTGCTAAATGCTTGTTTAAATTTAATTAAATTAGGCTTATATATCAACCCACCTGGACTTGAAGGAAGGGTTACCTCTTTTGAGAATGACATCTAATCTGTTTTCTCCTTCTTTTTTTGGGATAGGCAGCTATAAACCCAAACCAAATTTTACAGGTCAATCTTGTATGATTGACAAGTGTCAAGTATGTGTAGGAACTAAAAGTTTTGCCTGAGTCATCTTAAGTACTTTCACATATTTTCTGTCCAATTATCTCCAAACATTATGTAATCACCTGATCCTTTGTCACTCACCTCCTGTAAGAACTTGTCCACACAGAGATCAACTATCAGCACCTATAGAATAAAGGAGCCAGGCAAGTTAAACCTGAGACATTCACAGAGAAATTTCACAGAGAAATATATCAGGCACTGCTAGTTCAGGAAGAGTGTTTTGATTCCTTCAAGCAATGCAAATAGTTTTAAACAACATTAACTTAAAGTTATAGCCCATTTAAAACTTAACTCATCATCAACACATCCACAAATAAACTGCAAATAAAAAAAAATGATGGCAGGCACACCTACAGTTTAAAAGAGACTAAAAAACATACCAATCAAATGCAATGTGTGGACTTTACTTGGGACCTGATTCAAATAAACTATTAAATATTTATGAAATAACTGGAGATTTGAACACTGAATTTTGCTGACATTAAGGAATTGTTATTATATTTTTTAGATTTAATAATGTTATTGTGGCTATGTTTAAAATACCCTTATATTATAGATGCATTTCATAATATTTAGAGATGAAATTATGTCAGGATACACTTCAAAATATTGTGGAAGAGAGGAGTAGGTAAGGATAAAGATTGGCCATAACTTAATAAGTATTGAGTAGGGTGACTGGACTTATTTTGCTCTTTTGTTTGCTTTTATATATGTACAAAATTTTCCATAATAAAAGGTCTTTTGAAAAGTTAATATGAGAATCAGTAGCATTTCTATACATTAACAGCAAACTCTCTGAAGAAGAGATTAAGAAAATAATCCCATTTTAAATTGCATCAAAAAGAATAAAATACCTAGGAATAAATTTAACCAAGGAGGTGCAGATCTGTACACTGAAAACTACAAGACATTGATGAAAGAAATTAAAGAAGACACAAATAAATAGGAAGATAGTTTGTGCTCATGGATTGGAAGAATTAATATTGTTATTGTTAAATGTCCATACTATCCAAAGCACTCTACAGAGTCAATGCAATTTTTATCAAAAATTTCACAGAAATAGAACAAACAATTCTAAAATTTGTATGGAACCACAAAAGATCCCGAATACTTAAAGCAACCCTGAGAAAGAACAAAGCTGGGGGCATCTCACTTCTTGATTTCAAAGTACTGTTATTACACAAAGCTATAGTAATCAAAACACTATGATACTGGCATAAAAAAGACAAATAGGTCAGTGGAACAGGATAGAGTCCATAGTCAATTAATTTACAACAAGGGAGCCAAGAGTATACAATGGGGAAATGGAAGTGTCTTCCATAAATGGTGTTGGAAAACTGGACAGCCACATGCAAAAAAATGACACTGTATCTCTATCTTACATCATACACAAAAATCAACTCAAAGTGGATTAAAGATTTAAACGTGAGACCTGAAACCATAAAACTCTTAGAAAACAGGGGACAAGCATCTTGATATTGGTCTTGGCAATGAATTTTTGAATTTGACACCAAAAACAAAGGTAACAAAAACAAAAATAAACAAGTGGCAACTACACCAGAATGAAAAGCTTCTGCACAGTAAAGAAGCCATCAATAAAATGAAAAGAAAACCTACAGAGTGGGAGAAAATATTTGCAAATCATATTATTGGATAAGGTATTAATATCCAAAATATATAAAGAACTCATAGAATTCAATAGCAAAACAAAAACAAACAAAAAAAACCCCAAACAAACGAAAAACCAATATAATTAAAAAATAGGCAGAGAGGGATGGTTGGGTGGCTCAGTTAGTTAGAACGTGAGCTCTGAGTAATAGGATTGCTGGTTCGATTCCTGCATGGGCTGGTGAGCTGTGCCCTCGGCAACCAGATTGAAGGCAAACGACTTGAGCTGAGCTGCTGCTGAGCTGCTGATGAGTGGCCAGATGGCTCAGGTGGTTAGAGCACATCGCATGCTCTTAACAACAAGGTTGCCTGTTCGACTCCTGCATGGAATGGTGGGCTGCACCCTGCTCCCCCACAACTAGGTTAAAAACGACGGGACTTGGAGCTGAGCTGCGCCCTCCACAACTAAGATTGAAGGACAACAACTTGAAGCTGATGGGTCCTGGGAAAAACATGCTGTTCCCCAATAAAGTTTTTAAAAAAGCATAAAAAAATAGGCAGAGAAATTGAATAGACATTTTTCCCAAGAAGATATACAAATGGACAACAGGTACATGAAAAGATGCTCAACATCACTAAGCATCAGGGAAATGTACATCAAAACCACAATGAGCTATCATCTCACACCTGTTAAAATGACTGTTATCAAAAAAACAGGAAATAAGTATTGGCAAGGATGTGGAGACAAGGGAATGCTTGTGAACTGTTGGAGGGAATGTAAATTGGTGCAGCCACTATGGAAAACAGTATTGAAGCTCCTCAAAAAATTAAAATAGAACTACCATATAATCCAGCAATTCCACTTTGGGGATATATCCAGAAGAAACAAAATCAGTATTTCAAAAAGATATATGCTCTCCCATGTTCACTGCAGTATTTACAATAGCCAAGACATGGAAACAACCAAACGACCATTGACAGACAAATAAAGAAGATGTGATTTTATACACACACACACACACACACACACACACACACACACACACACACTGGAATAGTATTCAGCCTTAAAAAGGAGAAAATCCTGTCATTTGTAACAACATGGTTGGACCTTTAGGACATTATGCTAAGGGAAATAAATCAGGCAGAGACAGACAAATACCATATAATCTCACGTATATGTATAATCTAAAAAAAAATCAAACTTATAGGAACGGAGAACAGATTGGTGGTTACCAGAGGTGGGAGGCTGGGGGATGGGCAAAATGCATGAATGTGGTCAAAAGGCACAAATTTGCAGTTACAAGATGAATAAGTCCTGGGAATGTAATGTACAGCATGAGGACTATAGTTAACAATAATATACTATATACTTGAAAGTTGTTAAGAGAGTAGATCTTAAAAGTTTTCACCAAGAAAAAAATTCTATGTGAGGTGATGAATGTAAACTAACTTTATTGTGGCAATTATTTCACAATATATACATGTATTAAATCATTATGTTGTACACCTTAAACTAATACAATGTTATATGTAAATGTTGGGTCCAGACAATCAATAAAAAGGCTGGATGTCAAATTAAGGTTCCAAAGATTTTATTAAACTGAGCTCAGCGATCGTCTCTCCCACTAAGGAAAAACGGCCCCAAGACTTGGGGGGGGTAAGGTTTTTATAAGATAGGGCTGTATGCAAAGCAAATTACAGAAGCCAAAAAGAATGTGCAGTTATTTTAGTTAAAACTGCATCCTGCTGTTGTAACAATACTGTTATGTCCAGATGTCCAGATGTCTTTAACAGTACATCGTGACCAGGTTGAGTTGACTGCAGAAACTGTTTCTCAGAAATATGTATGTAATTAATTTTATAAACTAAGGATGAGGGTTGAGAAACCAAGGTTAGTTGCTGCAAGGCCTCCTGAGAGGTGGGGGAGTAAGGGGGAATCTTAACAGGAAGTTCTGCTTAGAGTTTAGCTGAAGTATCTGAAGTATGATTTTTTAAAAGTGAGTCTGTCTGGCCTAGGGTCCAGGCCATGGTCCTTTCTCTCCCCACTGGTCTTATGGAAGTGAATCAAATCATGGATTCATGGGCAGGGTTATTAAGGGGAGTATAACATTGACGAAGGACTATGAGCTTGAGAGAGCGAACCTGTTGTGGGACAAACCCAGTTAGGGAGTTTAAAATGGGATATTGATTTTGCATAAATCAACCTGTAAAGATACAGAGGTGTCAAAAGGGGAGGGAATATGAGAAGTATATACAGTTCCTGTTCTAGTTGCTCTAATTTCCTATTTTATAGGTACTGGAGTATGAGGATGGGGCTTGCGGGCCCTAGTTGGTATTATGAGGAACAAGAAATAAACAGTTAAGAGGGAAGTGAAGAGTCTCTGACCTGCCCCAGTCCCATCCTGGTATCTCCAGGTCTACTGAGGATCCGCCATCTGTTCACGGTGTCTGGTGAAGCTGGCTTAACCTGGGTGTAGTGGATCTAAGCAGGAATCCTGGCGACCTTAATTGCTGTTGGTGTGACTAAGGTGATAATATAGTCCCTTCTAGGTTGGCTCGAGTGTCCTGGTGGGAAACCATCGGACCAGGACGGAATCTCCAGGCTGGAATGGGTGAGGCTGGATAGGTCCGTTGTCAGGGCGAGTCACCTTGATGAGCGGCTGAAGTTTAGTCTGGAGGGTCTGTAAGGCTTGAAGAGACTGAATTAGTTAATTGTTAGATATTTCAGATAATACATCGTCCCCAACTCGTGGAAGAAGAGGGGGAGGTCTACTATACAGAATTTTATAGGGGGTGAAACCTGCCCAGTAGGGGGTACAGCGTACATGGAGTAAGGCTGAAGGGATCAGGTCTGGCCACCCAGCACCAGTTTCAAATACAAATTTACTTAAAGTTTCTTTTAGGGTTCTATTCATTTTTTTACTTGTCCTGAACTCTGTGGCCAATAGGCACAGTGGAGTTTCCAGGAAATATGAAGAGTCTTAGCCAGAATTTGAGAAACAGTAGCCGTGAAGGCTGGACCATTGTCGGACCCCAGGTAACGGGGGAGGCCAAATCTGGGAACGAGCTCCTGGAGTAGTTTCTTGGCTACTGTGGCCGCCGTTTCTGTCCTGGTGGGGTAAGCTTCTACCCATCCTGAAAAAGAGTCAATGAAAACTAAGAGATATTTATAATTGTACATACTGGAGCGGACTTCAGTGAAATCAAGTTTCCAATGTTTGCCTCGGTAGGCGCCAGCAAACCTCGTGCCCATTTGTCGAGGCTGGGGATTTATGTTGACCTTTGCACAGACCATATACCTGGATACAATGTCCTGGACAGTGGGGGTGAGGTTAAGGATCTTGAATCTGCTGCGGATAAGTTCACTAAGTTTTCGGGCCCTTAAATGAGTCAGGTGGTGAAGTTGAGTTATGAGGTGTCTCCCTAATGCTTGGGGGAGACAGGGCCTCCCATCGGAAGCTTGGAGCCATCCACTTCTTTGGGGCTGAGCTCCCTGTGTTAAAAAAAAACCT